GGATTAATTAAGGAATAAATAAATAAATTTAAAAAACGTTTCTTTTATAATGCAAAGTTTGACGTTTCATTTAACTGAAGAGCTGATGACTGAAGCTCTGATAAGATGTAATTATTGTGTCCTTAAAACAAAATTCATCTTGACTAACGATGTACTCTGTAACAGTTTAAAAACTGACGTCATCAAATTGGTCCAGTCGAATGGTGGTAGGAAGTGAAAAAAATCAATTCTCTGCGGTTATTATGTTTTTTAGGATGCTGAATCTAACTTTTTTTTATTATTATGTATAATATTTACAACTATATTAGAAATAAAAATACATTCAGTAAATATGAACACAAGAATATAATAACATGAAACCACTTGTTAAGAAACTACCCACTGGTAGCACTCTAAAAATGTATTTACAACAGGAGATCTCGAGGCCATCTTCTTTTTAGAAGCTTCGGAGGATCATCAGGGATCGAGGAGAAAGCAAAATTAGAAAAAAGAGGTTTCGGATGGTTCTGAAGTTTGTTATGGAAGGATAGGTATCTGGATTGGGCCAGGTCAGAAACATAAGGAACATTAAGGTCTTTATGGATTATTTTATTTGTGACAAAGTAAGGAGCATTCAGGATTTTACGAAGGATTTTGGATTGTAAGGATTAGATCCGAGAGGAATTCGAAGGCTTAGTGGAGCCCCATAGCTCAACTCCGTAAGTCCAAATAGGTCTTATTGTAGTCATGTATAGAAGTTTTTTGTAATTAACTGGAAGCTCAGAGCGTTCTAGTAAGTGCTGGAGTATGAGAGTGTCTGGTATGAGGATTCCAAGTTAGACGTTTGTCTAAGTGGAGTCCAAGGTATTGGATTTATTCAAAAGTGATAAGTAGAGTATTGTTAAAGGATACTGTAGGGCAGAAAGTCATAGGTTTACGACGAAGGGTAAAGGTGATTTGATGGGATTTATTGGAATTTATTTTAATCCAATCTGAATCTGAATTTTAAGTTCGCAATCGCAATATGTATATATAACGAAATATATAATATAATTACAATTATTATGAAATAGAAAAGGAAGCACAGTATAACATACAGTGAAAATATTAGAAATAAAAGGCTTAAATTATTTTTAGGCTTATATGAACCTGGACAAGTTGTTTTTTGGTTACAAATTACCAATACGAATAAGTATAATTATATAATAATATAAATTGGCAATTAAGCGCGATGTATAATATAGAATTTTAAAGAAATGAAAAAATTCCGACTGTGGTTTCATTTAGTTTATTTTATGTTGATAAAAAAATTACAATCTGAACTACAGAATACATGTAAATTAAAGTTATACACTGTGAGCAACGAGTAGTACAATTAAAGGAACAGTTGTGTAATTTGTAAAATGGGGGTTGGTCCGCCGTTAGGCCTAAACACATTTCATTACTTTTATATATTCTATAGGTATGATAGGCATGTACATATATTGTAACATAAAAAAAATTGCAGGCCGTAATTTTTGCCGTAAAAAATTCAGCGTAGCTCTAATTATTTCATTATTCTCTTTGATTGATGTCCCTATCAAAATTTTGGTTTATCATTTTCAATAATGTTGGTTTATTATTTTCAATAATGAACCATTGTGATCGAACACAAAATTCAAAAGCTCAATTCCCTCTCAAAACTTGAGGTTTTACGTTTTAGGATAAGTAGAATTCGAAAAACGAATAAAAATGTTTTTGTCTGTCCGCCGTCCGCCGTCCGCCGTCCACGCATTTTCTCCGAAACTACTGGATCGATTTTTTTCAAATTTGGATTTAAAATTAGAGGTTACCCGAGGATGATCCTCCTTCATCGACATTACTATCCGCCTTTTCCTTTCAAGGTGGCGACCGAAAAAACTGCGTTGCTATAGAATGTAGCGTCTAAACGAATGTACCGATTTCAATGCAACATCGCTAAAGTCTTCTTCTCTATGCCCTTTAAATTTATCTATATAACATACTTCAACGAAAAGAAACTGAAAAAAAAAGTTACGAGGGATGGTAAAATTAGATTCCGAATAACTCAAGAAGTATACACTTTTTTGTCTATATTGTATACATTTTTGTGTATGGTTATTTAAAAGTTTATGGAATATCTTAAAAAAAAAAATCTGTAAAATCGTACAATTAGGAGGAAAGATGTGGTCTCTAGATGTTTATATGTTCTACTGCAAATGTTATATCCTTTGTTTTTGAATGTGTTACTGAAGTAATGCCATTTTTTTTTATCATATTACTAATGATTAAAAAAAAATGTTTAGTCCAATGATTGGAATCACCTTATATTATTCTTTCTTCGTCATTATGAAGGTAATATTACTTTAGATGTATAATTTTTTGGAAATAATAAACCATTGTGAAATAATTTGCATTAATAATTATAGTAAAAATAATAGCCGAAAAATATAATTTACAGAACCTGTATGTTTTATATCTAACTACTTTGAACTTTTTGATCTGTAAAATATGTTATATTTTTGAAACATGGACTATGAAATGTCCTTTCAACTAGAGGCGGGCTAAAGAAACATCTGTTGGCCAAATTATAAGTCCCTTCCTTTGAGAACATGTGGTAGTAATTAAGGCTTCTATATCCTGTACCAAACATTTCGATGCTTATTTTCAATATTAGCTTCCTCTAAAGTACCTTTAATTTTTTTTATTGGAAACAATTGACTATTTCACATTAATCACCAATATAAAATATATACTAAAAATATAAAATATAGTTAAATATAAAACACGAAAGAATTTGATAATTAACTAAAGGAGAAATTAAATATCGTTATGGTTAATAGTTGTAATTGATCGCACCCGAAAGATTATAACAGGCTTCGATACGTAACATGAGCTTAGTACAATACGGATTCCGACAATATTATATAGATATAAATATGCAGTTTTCATAAATGTTATTGTTGGCATTATTTAATATTTAATTGTTTAGATTCCTCAATGCTCCTTACTTTGTTACAAATAAAACCATCCATAATGACCTTAATGTTCCTTTTGTTTCAGATTTGGCCCAATCCAGATACCTGTCCTTCCATAATAAACTTGAGAATCATCCCAACCCTTTCGTTTCTAATCTTGCTTCCTCTTCAATTCCTGATCACCCTCCGAGGCGTCTGAAAAGAAGATGGCCCCGTGATCTCCTAATGTAAACATATCATTAGAGTGCTACCATTGGGTAGTTACTCAGGAAGTGTTTTTCATGTCATTATATACATTATGTTCTAATTTACTAGATGTATTTATTTAATACAGTTGTAAATGTCTTTAAGAAATAAAAAAAATAATTGTATAGATTACACCGATATAAATATTAAAATTTGTATATATATATAAGGGTACTTATACAAATAAAAATACCAACAATGAAATATAAATAACTAGCTGATGTGCCCGTCGTTGACTATTTGACATAGTTAAAATTTGAGAATCTTTTTTTGAGATGGATTTTGTATTATGGGGGGGAGGAGGGTCCAAATTCAATTTCATAAAATTGGGTTGGGTGGAGGAAGGGGGTTATTTTGAAATTTTTTATGGCGAGGCTTATGGAAGTCAAGGTTTCGCAAGAATCAACTAAATCGACCACCACCGATGCATTAAAATTTGTTAAGTGTTTAATTTTCATTTTTGATGAAGCGAGGAGATTGTGGAGTCGATTAATTAATCAAAAAGAGTTTTAGTCTCTTCACTTCTTTGAACTCTGCTGAGTTTATCGCAAAATAATATTTGTCATTGAGTCACCTACATCAGTGTAAAATTTGAACTTGATCTGAATATTGTGGCGGGCGGGGTGAAATGGTTGGAGTTTTTTTTCCTGATTTCCGGCTAATACGTTTGGTTAATCCTAAACATGTATACAACATTTTTTTATGCTCGGGAAGTTGAATTGAATGACATCTTGAACGGAAAAATCGGACAAAGTTGAAAAATAAGTGTATTTTACGCGTTTTATGTGACAATTACAAATTTACAAAAGTTCGGTATTCCGGATTTTTCCCTTTGAGAAAATTTTTTTTAAAAGTGGATTTGGTGTCTTTAATGTATAAAACGGAAAGATATCATGAAACGGGTTGATTTTATTCAATGTACAGACAAAACCTTTATTTTATTTATATAGATGTTCTTTAACCTATAAAAATATGTTTACTATCAACATTAACCGATATCTCTAGACAAATTACTCAAGAATTTATAACTTTGGTTATACTCAATATTTTGTTTTCATTTAGAACCTATATTTTAAGTCAAGCAAACCTTAATATAATGTTAAAATTTCAAAAGTCTACAATAAGCCATTGCTGAGCTTACCCATTACAAAATTTCGTTGCAAGGCGGACATAAAGACAAGCACAGACGGATCTACGGGGAGGAGGCTTTCGGGCTGAAGCCCCCCTCCCCCCCCCTAAATGGTAAAATATAACCATGTTTTACAGAAAAAAATATTAAAAACTATCTCTTAAAGTATTCTTGTTCGTTTAATTACATTTAATAAGACTTCAGGGACCACTTAAACACCATTTCATATAGGTAGTTAATTTATTTCTTTTTGTTCAAATTATTTTTATGAAGATTTATGAAAAAAAAATCTTTCGGGCTGAAGTCCCCTCCCCCCAAAATTAAATCCTGGATCCACTAGTGCAGACAAAAAAACAATTTTTTTAAAAGTGGATTTGGTGTCTGCAATGTATGAAACGAAATGATATCATAAAACGGGTTGATTCTATTTTATGTACAAACAAAATCTTTATTTATTTATATAGATAATAGCGTATATAATTTTTACTTTCACTTCTCCTTTGTCTGAAAATACTTATTTCTGCTAAGAAGAGAGTAGTAAGTGAAAGTTGTGTGGTGCGCGCACCAGATTTTTTAAACTATATTATAATACAGGGAATATTGAGTTACGTCGATTTGTTTCTACAAATACAAATTATTCTTTTAAAAAACATTTTTAATAAGATAATATTTTATATTTCGTTCTACAGTTTGTCAACCTGAGTTAGCATTGGTCTAGCGATGCAGATGGCATGTGCTAAAAAGAATTCATTCAGTTGGTTGCGGGATCTGATAGGGTGCAGGTTACCTTACGTTCGTGTACGCCGATTATGTCAACTGATATTTCGGCTTTTAATACTGTAACTTCCATAACAGAGTGGAAATGTTCAATATTTTAGAACGCAGTAGATGACTAACGTCTCATTTATAGACTATTAAAAGAATATCCCGTCGTTTTCGTTTTATTTAGTTTGTTTTTCTTTTCTATAATTTACTATTGTGGATTATGTTTACAGCTCTTGCACCTAATTGTTCCTCGATTGATATGTCTGTTAAAAAGAAACTTTATACCGTTTTAATCTTGGGATTTGTGTGTATATTGTATTACTGTTCGTTCGGTAATAGAGGTAAGTGTGTGAATATATATTAGAGTTGTTTTTTTCATGTATGGAAAAGTGCAGTGACTATTGATGGTTTTTACTATTTCAACAGACGAACACTTCGTTTCTATGAAGCAGTCAATGGATGAATATGAATTACTTGTAAGTTTTTCACAACTTTTTATATTTAATAGTACTTAAGCCTTATTTGAAATGACATATTATATGATGCTAATTTAAAGCTTTTTAGATTTTATGTTTTTCACCCAATGTTGGCCTTAAAAATAAACTATAGAATTTCCGAAACCATTGAGGAGGAAAAATTGTTAACATCAAGTTTTCCCCTTAGCATAGTAAACGATTTCAGAACTAATCCTACCTCCTTTCATGTATGTTTAAATTAAAAAATGAAATGACTCGTTAACATTTTTAAATAGTAATCCATTATTTTGTTTTTAACTCATGAAAAGATTTGAACAGTGGAGTTTTTTTCTATTAACTCAAGTATCATTTTAAGTGACTTATTAATCTCCTCTTCCAATATAACATTGTTGATTTATTTTCTTCCCACAGTTATTTTTATTCAATTAACAAGCTGTTTGAGACAACCAGAGGTTCATGACAAATAGTATTTAAGTGTATTTTTTTATTTAGTACTTCAATTTCTATAAATTTTTATAACTAGGCAGAACTTATTTAGATTTTCTTTTACCCCCTTTAGTAACTCCATGTAACATGTATTTTCAACATACGACTTATAAAGCCCTTCTTTGAAAAAGCTTATGGTAAGATGTTGAACCTCAGAAAAGATTAATAAATTTAATCTTCAGAAGTCTTTAAAATGATTTTTGAATACCAAAAGTTAAATTTCGTGTTGATTTTCATTCTATGTTAATGTTTTTCAATTGTGTTAAACTCACTTCATTTGTCAATCTATGTAGTATAGTTTTTTTTAATTCTAAATTATTGACTTTATTTATTTAATTGTTTGTCTAAAGAAAGCAACTGACATGTCATAAATTTAATTTGAAGTTATGTAGTTATCTCATAACATAATAATGCTGCTATCTTTTGGTAGTGGTTAGTATTAAGAACAAATTCCTTCCAAGAACCTTCCTTATAATTTAATATATTATACAATTGTTTTAAAAAAATTCCCATTAAAGAAAAATAATAACAGAAGTATGTCATTATCTAGGATACAAAGGAAATAATCTGTATTTTTTAAAAAGTTGATTATTAACGATTAGTAACAATAATGCAAATAAATAACATTCTTTCCTAATAATGATATAAAACAGTAATTTAACTGTGTATTTATGTTAGATACAACCTATTTTCTTATTTACTAACAGTAGATGTATTTATTTTCTAAATTAGAAGGAAAAAATTTAGTTTTCAAAAGTAAGCCAACAATGTATTAAATCATTTTCTATTACTGAAGCCATTTATTTTCTTTCTTTTTTATATATGGCAATTTACATTGTTGCATAACTACAGTTGTCGTTGTTGATAAACATACTATGTTTAAATTTGTATGGCTTCATCCTAACAAAATTATTATTAGAAATAGCAAACAATGTTTTAATGTAATAATCATGTATCATGATTTGTATGAATTGTTTGAAACTATTTTGCAATTCTCATTTTTTATTTATAAACCTCTTTTAAATAAAAAATGAGCTATTGCAACTATGGTTATTTTTGTATACTTTCAATGGTCATTGCTTAGTTTTCATTGGCTAAATTAAATAATTTAACAAAACTGCATTGCATTATTTTTTATTATGTGATCCCAACAAATAATTTTCATTTGATGGGTGTTATTTTCAGAGACAAGATATTGGTTTCTATTTTACTTTTATTGTTTTATTTATATTCATTATTTCTTTATAGATTCGGCTAATTCCAATTTATTCTCATTTAATAATAACTAAGTCCTTCTGTCAGTAATAATAATTAAAATTATTAGCAGTAATATTTTCTTCTTTAAATTAAAAAGTATATAAATAATAAAAATCTCTTCTAAAAATATTTTTTCTTATGAAGTGTAATGACTTCATTAAATTAAAATTCAATTCCAAAAAGTACTTATTGCCTTTTTAAACATTGTGATTTAAGTTTAATTGATTTTGGATTCTGCTTACCTCCCCACCCATAGGATATTGCTTAAATTAAATTGATTCAACAGAACTTTTAAAATAATTTTTTTTAAATAAGTTTCATAAAATCTTTAATTTAAAATTTTGATGGAAAAGAACCCATAGTCATCATAATATTCTCTATCGAGCACTATTATTTTCAGTAATATTTATTCAATATATTGTAAGAAAAATTGAAGAAAAAAAATCTAATAATATTATAAGCTTAATTAATTGTTGTATGAATCATGTTATTTAAGAGCACTTGCGAACCCAATTCGGATTCAGACTTGGCACTTGAAATTTCCTCTCGGCAGGAAATAATTGGGATTTTTCTGGGTAGGAACCGTGATTTGACAGACACTGTAGATAGTGTATATCTCCCTCAAAATTCTAAAAGCTGCCTTTGGTCATTATTCCAATTCCTTAGTCAGGACTTGATCAACATTGAGCTCTTGGTGTATATTTAACAACAGCTTTTAGTTGCTCCTTCTCCTCCATTATATACTCTCTTTATTTTGAATATAATATGAAAGACTTTTCTTTCGAGCATTTGAAGCTCCCGCTATTCTTTATTTTAAAGGTTCATGTCTCAGATAGAGGAGTATTGGGTGGGTGTATGAAGTGACTATATGTACATTCAGAAATCCAAATAAATCCACATTAAAATCCAGTCCTGCTTCTTCACTAGACTATTTTTTGCTCAAGGAAGCATGCATGCATCTTCTATTCAATGGTTTTGAAAAATCATTAATTAATTTAAATCTCTAATGTTCATAGTCATTTGAGTATCAATGGCACTTATTTTATTATAAAGGCTAGATATTGTCATGATTAAGTGATGAGACATCAATGACAGCATGAAAGAAAAAATATTACATCAAATCGTAAAAATTACACAGTGGGACCAATAATCTTAAAATTTGGCCAAAATAAAATTTTTTTACTATTTATTTTTATTTAAAAACTTATCATTAAAATAATATTAATTTCTTAGTTTCATTACTTTGATTTCTTTAACTAAACATAATCTATTATAAGGACAAAACAAATTTTTGGGTATAAGATTCAAACTATCCTACGAAATTTCAAAATATAGATCACAAAACATAGAATTGATTAGCTTCAGAGTTTTGCTGTTTGGTCCCACGGTGCATCGGGTAGGAAAAAATACTTATTGAAAAAGGTATAAAAAAATTATAATCCATAATATTCCAAAACATAATGCTAAAAATAAAAAATAAAGTTAGTGGCCAGAAAAAACATTCAATCATAGCTACTCTAAAAACTTTTATCTCCTTGTTACCTTTATATAGAAATACAATACTAATGTACATTTTAAAAAATACAAATTTTAACTATGTGTATATGCAAAAGATTCTTGTAGTGATAAATTTTTGTTTGACTCAAGTCAATAGCTTGCTAATTGTCTGTTAAGTCCAAAGTAACACTGTTAAGCCGAAACAATCCCATTATCGATCTCCTGTTTGATTGCATTTTCCTGTGTTACATTCGCAATGTGAACTCGGCCACTTTTTCAAACTTCGGCCCCTTTCACACTGAAGATGCAAGACGCAGGATACATGCATCTTAAATTAAATACTGGACAATGTTATAGGAAGAGAGCTTTCACATTGAAGATGCAAGTATGTCTTGCAGCCTGCATGCAAGATGCCCGTGCATCTTGTGAACCATCCAGCTGGAGATTTTTAGCATGCATCTTTGTTATGCTAGTCTTGCATACTCGCCCCTTCCACCTTGGCTTACACCGCCAACACTCGGTATATCCTCTCCCTTCTCAATTTTCTCTAAGCTCTTGTGATTGACGTCTATCAATTGCTTTTTTATGTTCAACTATTGTTTATTTTTTTTTATCTATTGTTTAATTTGTTTTTAACTATGTGTTTTTTTTTATCAATTGCTCTGATTTTCAACTATTTCTCCATGTTTTTACCTATTTTTCTTGTTATTACCATAGAAGATTTAAAATTTTATGCCAAAATTAACATAAATCGTTTGTAATCGTTTTCTGTTGAATTGACAAGTGAATTTCATGAAGTGGTGTGACCTAGGGTTTCTTTTCTGTCCTGATTATGCCTGAATTGGTGAATCGTTGACAGTTTATTTTATTCTTTATCTGCATTTTAAAGATACAAAAGTATGAGTTTGGAATTTTCCAATTATAAGGTAACATTTATTCTTCTCCCTCCCCCCTTCCCAAGATGTGGCAATGGTACTTTTAATTAACTACGCTGTACAAAATATTCCTAAGTAATGTGTTTAGTTTTCAGCTACACATTCACATGTTTAAAAACGAGTTATACTATTAACTGAAAAATATAGGTATTTACTTCAAAAATATGAGTAATCTTTCTTTCGCAGATACGACCAAGAGCCAATTTGTATCTCCAACAACTTGTGTAATGTCGAAATCTCCATTTTATAGTACGCCTGAAACTTTACTGGATGGTTCAGTAATTGCTGAGACACCATAGCAGGGCTATAATCTTCTGTATTATTCCATTATGGATGCTCCCATAAACGATTTCTTCTTTGTCTTCATCGTCTTCTTATTGTACAAGCCACAATTATAATTTTGTCGCCTGAAGAGTCGGATGATTGATCAATCATCTTTCGAACTCACATACTAAACTAACAGAGATAATGGATGTAAATAGAAGATGCAAAAGGCACGTGCATCCTTGGTGTGAAAGCTTTTGGATCTTCGGTGTGAAAGGGCCCTTACATGAAGCGATTGTCAGTGTTTCTCTTTCCAAAGGTGCTTCTCCAAGCGCCATGTTCTTAGTTATCCAATTATGGCTTCTTTTAAGGCTGAGTTAAAAAGTAAACAAGCCAAAGTGTCTCCTTGCCTTATGTCCTTACCTGTGCTAAATTATTTGGTCCTATCAATTGTTGATTTTTAGTGTACATTGATGGTTGTTTAGATGTATTCCAAAACTATCTAAGGCCTTGTGCAGCTCTTCCCTATTGATGCTGTCTTGGGCTGCTTTAAGTCAATGGGCAAATGATGCTTTTTGACATTATATTCATGTTCTACCTTTAAAATAGTGCGAAAACTGAAAATTTTATCAGTAATTGATTTTCCCTTCCTAAAGTCACATTAGAATAGGCCTAGATTTTTAAAAAAACGTTTTCTTTCCTCGTTCATACAGACCAGCTGTCTGGGGATAACGATTTTCTATTTCATTTACTTTCTGGCAGAATTCCTGGAATCATTTTTCTCCTCTCGACATATTCATTTTCTCCAATTCATTTACTTGGTTTAAATAATAAATACTTGAATATTCAGTTTCCTATGGTGGTTTGAAGTGATTGCAATTTGGCCTAGCATCATGGAATTCAACACCAATGTATTTTCAACCACTCTGCATCACTTGAAAAAATTGGAGGGAATTTCATGTCTCATTTGGCATGGTGTGATTGGAGTAGAATTATTGTCAGTGGCCACCTTTAGATTATCAGGTGCCAGTACCCATTTCATAGACAATTTTGTGATTAAGATATTTATTTATTTTATTATAGCTTCTATTATTATTTTATTTTTATATGGTCTTAAAATGATCATTGTGTATATTTTTGTAACAGTTACGCGAGACACGAGAACAGATACTCGATAGATTGAAAATGTGCCAAAGGGATTGTCAACATTGGGATCCAGATGTTCCTGTAGTTTATGCTGTTACACCGACATACACACGCCCCGTACAGAAAGCTGAACTTACGAGGTATGATTTTTACAAGATTATTTGTTCAATTAAATGTTATTTTGTTTAATTATCTTGCTTTTCTCTTAGGTATATCACACCTTTATTTAGGAAATAAACATTTTTGAGATGGAGATATGATTGACTGTAAAATTTAAAGTATAACAAATAACCAGGATATGCAGTTTTTATGTTGTTCATTAATGTTGCTGACGATTCGACCCAAGCAATTAGGTCATCTACAAAATTTTTTTTTTTTTTTTTCATTTTAAAATTTCTTTATTGAGTATTATAACAATCTGTCTGTTGGACATTGGTTATAGTGAGGTAGGATGACATTCACACCATATGTACAAAAAAATAAAATAAATAGAACAAAATAATAATCAAAGTATATACAATAGACAATAAAATAAAATAACCTAAAAAATAAGAAAACTAAAACTAAGAAAAAAAAAAAAAACACATGCATACCTATATACAATCAGGCGAGGGAACTCCAGGAGAACCCTGCGCTACTCTCCCAACCGCGTCACTGGTACTAAAGCCAGCGGAGATTGGTCCAGAGCACTAAACTACAAAATAATTCAGGACATTGAAATCTTGTTATTAGTCTAGCCTGTAACCATTTTTCTGATGACACATATGCTGGGATTGAAGCATCAGCAACCTTAATAAACAACATAAAGACTGCGTGCCTATCTTGATCATTGTAATCCTTAAAAAGTAATTTTGTGCAAATGAGTATAATGCTTAAGAAAATTCTCTTTGAAATTAAATATCTACCTTCGTGGAAATATCCCATTATATTCATCTTAGTTTTGAATATTTTCGTAAATAAAATTAGTTCAAGTTTCAGTTGGGATTTTAATTTCATTCTTTAGAAGACAGTGAGTCATATTTATCTAGGATGTGAACGCTATTTTTGTCTTCAGAATCAAAAATGTTCTCACATTTTATGTATTAGTAATCAAAGGAGGAATTTTCTTTTTTGTCTCTCTGTAGGTAGTCAATTCTGTGTAACAGGCATAAAATCTAGTTGCATAATCCAATGTAATTATTGAAATATGCCAAAAAAAAAAAAAAAAAGTTGAACTATAAACTATTAAAATATTAAATTTGTATGTATTTTTTAAGGAATTAGAATTTTAAGATAAAGATTGATTATTCTCAAAAGGCAATATATTATTAATGTTTTATTTGTTTCGGTGTTAAGATTAACTGTAATTTTTGGTTGACTCCTTAGCAAAATATTTCTTAAAAAATTTAGTAATTAAAAAATAAAATAAAAAATCCAAGTCTTTATGACGTTTCTCAAAACCAAATTTAGTGTTAAATAAAAAATTTTAATTTTAAACACACATGAATGATATTTCATATAAATAATAGATATAAAATATCTATCATTCATGTTTGTATTTATTTTAAAATTAACTGAAAATTAAATTCATAAATACTCGATTATCTGTTAACCAATTCCTAACTTCCCTCAAATTTTGAGCCAAATCGAACATGCGGTTTTAGAGATAAAGACGTATCAAAGAAAACATGTTTGCTCATATATAAGAGAAAGTACTGGATGGAATTCAATAAAATCGATACTATATAATTTTTTTATTAATACCTATCTTTTGTCCAACATAAAGCCAAATCGAACCAGCCGTTTCTGAAATATTGGTATATCTAGAAGTGCTGCATGGAATTGATATGGGACCATCTAGGCACCAACCTGCATAATCTCTAAAAATTTAATGAAACTCAGATAAACGATAGTAGTTGATGTGCTAATTACATCAATTTGACTACAGACAGATACTGAACCAAATTTCATCCTTGATGTCTGAAACGTAAAACACGAGTGGCAAGTAATTCTGACCACAAAATTTGTTTCAACCCCTCCTTTGGTAGTGAAGAAGCAAAATTGAAATTTAGATATTAACCCATGTAACTTATTATGTGTTTTACTTATAATAACAAACTCTTAGCTTATGAGACATTTTTAAACCAATTTAATCCTACAAAATCAATGCTAAGATATTATTTTCTTTGCCTTTCCAGGCTTTCGCAGACATTTATGCTCGTCAACAACCTGCATTGGATAGTTGTCGAAGACGCACCGAAGAAATCGATGCTAGTAGAAAACCTACTTGCTCGAACTACCCTCAACTATACACATTTGTTAGCCCAGACGCCACAGAAATATCGGAAAAAGGGTGCTGTGAGTATCGTTTTCTCTCTTTGGGTCTTGTCATTTTTTATTTATATTGTTTATTCTTTCAAATTAAATTGACTTATTCTGCTCATTGGAGCTTTGTTAACTTTTGAAAGAGATGCTATAAAAAGTAAAATTCGGACCTAAAGGTGTACTGATGTTGGTAGGTACCGATCGGAATTAGTCTAGAGGAGTCGTCCAAAGAAACGAAGCTCTGAAATGGCTGAGGAAAAACAGATCTGAAAAAGATAAAGGTGTCGTCTACTTTGCTGATGATGACAATTCCTACAATATTCAATTATTTGAAGAGGTGAGTTATTAATTCTGAATTATATTTCTTTGATAAATTCCTCTCTTATATTTTTTTTTTTTTTTTTTCTGTTAGCATTACAGACCATGTAGATCTTTTGCCACGTTAACAAGCTTGCTGCATCTCTGCCTGTCTTGGGATATTTCTTTCCAGTTATCTGCACGCAGTTCTATTGCATCTTTGTTGATTCTATCTATCCATTTGCTTTTTGACCTTCCATGTGGTCTTTTACCTTCTATCGAGGCATTCATTGTTACATACAGGCTTCCAAATGGGTTGCTGCGAGCTACATGCCCCATCCACTTTAACCTCCATGCCTTCATATCATGGGATATTGACTGACCAGTTTCTATAAGCAGCTCTTTATCGGTCTTTCTTCTCCATGTGTTAGTACTCTGATCCCAGATTGCTCCTGTTATCGTACAGAGGATCTTTCTCTCAAATCTTTTAATACCTTTGCAAGGGAGAATAAAGTTGTATTTGTACTAGTTATACACTGGTCTATTTCTGATCGTTGGTCATTCATTGAGGTTATTGTGGAGGCGAGGTATTTGAATTTTTCTATACCATTTTCTCTCGGGAATAATTTTCCTTCTATGCAAATCCTATTATTGGGATGCAATTATCGGCTTATTATCATATTTTGTTTTGTCTTCATTTATTTGTAGGGCGATCTGCTTTGCCTCTTCTATCAGAGTTTTAGCGAGTTTCTCAATGTCCTCTTAATTACTTCCTGTGACAGCTACATATCTGCTTATCCAAGGATTTCATGATTCATTCTGATGTGGACTCCTCCATTTTCCTGTGATGTTCTTTCGAGCTAAGTTGAACAACATTGATGGCAGTCCATCTCTCTGCCATAAGCCCGTTCAAACTTTGAAGGCTTCAAATACTTCTTGTATTATAACTCTGCATTTAGAGTCATTTTTACACACCTTTGTCAATCTCACCAACTTACCAGTAATTCCCAGTTCAGTCATGATTTCCCAAAGACAGCTCATGTCCACAGAATCATAGGCTGCTTTGAAATCATCAAATAGGGCGTGGGCATCCTGAGCTACTTCCCATCGTTTTTCGAGCACTTGTTGTTGAAGATCTGGTGTGGCGTGTTCCTTTCTTTTCTGAATCCAGTTTGGTGATCGCCTATTATATTTTCATAATATACGTACTTACCCTATCTTACTTATCAGATTAATTTTCTTATTCTAATATTTTATTTATTCTTAATTGTGTTTATTATTGGCTGACTCTTGGCCTGCAAATTATTTATTTATCAAATATCTGTATTTTATGACAAAAAAAATTATATACTATATACGATAAGATAGGAAAGATCCCTTTTCCGGCTCTCAGGAACAAAGAATTTTTATTAATGAGATATAAAACAAAAGTGAATTTAATTAAACACAATTTTCTCTGTGTCGGGCCGTTGGCTTCCAATGTCAGAGTTTTAAGCCTCCTTTTTTAAATGAATTTTACTACAGTTGTAGTGATCATTTATGAATCGAAATTGGGATTCATTACTTCTCCATAAAATTCCCTTTCTTTTGATAACTAGTTTGTTAAAATCATGAAAGTCCGAAAAGGATTTCGCTGTTTTATTTTACTTAACTTTTGATACAATTTTTTTTTTGTCTCTGTTGTAATAGATGAGATCAACGAAAGAAGTTGGAGTGTGGCCGGTCGGTTTGGTCGGTGGTCTCTTGGTGGAAAGGCCACTCCTCAATTTGACTACGGGTAAGGTCAACGGTTGGAATGCTGTATGGCGGCCTGATAGAGTTTTCCCCATCGACATGGCTGGGTTCGCTGTTAACCTAGGACATATTTTAAGACAACCAAATGTGAGTTAATCTTTGTATCCTCATTGTATATTTACTTGTTAAAGCAATCAATATCTAATGTGATTATAATTGATTCATTGAATAAAGTAGAATATAGTGAAATTTCCTGTATCGGACACCTCTGATTTCAATACTTTTACACTATAAATTACTTCTACATAACGGACATTCTCTATAAGACAAAGATTTTTATTAAATTGTGTATCTATAACAAATAGCAGGAAGACAGTGAGGCTCTTATTCTGAGAACATTAATCCAATTTATAGTAGCTTAGTTCAATTATATATGGATATTCATTTATAAAATCGAGATTACAATCTTAACCTTTTTGTGTTAGTTTAAAGTATATGATTGTCAACTCACTTCCAGTTAAATTTCAAAGAATAAGTAGATTTTATTTATAACAACAAAAAAAAAAAAAACACGAAGGATCCATGGTTCAGTATTGTTTTTTAGTCAACGGTAGTGCAAGGAGGTGATTTGACTGAGATCATACTCTATCGTCAGGTTTTGTTGTTTAATTCTATATTTATAAGGATGGACTCCCGACAGAATAAAATAATTTAATAATAACATGAAACAGAATAAATAATTTTTCTGATTAGTTTTTGCAATTAAGTTGCTCTATTAATTTTTTTTTTGTGTGCGCTGTGTGCTTGCTGACTGATAACTGTCCGAAGGATAGGCTGAAGGTGGGAGGATTGCGTTAGGGCAGAGTTGGGTTTGGACGGCAACCAGTGGATGGAAGTATGTATATAATGATTGGTGGTATCGGCATGCAACCTTTGGGTTCGCTAAGCTTTTTATTATTATTATAAAAATTGGTGTGTGTCATTTTAAACAACAGAAGGAATATTTGCTCTGTACCTGTGATCTAACAATACGCTTTCGGAATCTCTGAGTCTTCTGAACTCCCAAAGAAGACGAAAAAAGTTCTATCACTAATTAATAGACCGACAAAAAATTTTTATTGGAAGACAGTGAAATATTTTCTCTTAAGTGTCCGCTACTGAGAAGTTTTTCTTTGATTTGGTTATCAAAGTAATAAATTCTGTTAATTGATGAGACTTAATATATTGTGATATACTTTTTCAGGCATATTTTTCTTATAACGCATACGGAGGCTTTTTGGAAAGTCATTTTCTAGAACAACTTACAACACAGGATCATCTAGAACCAAAAGCAGAAAACTGCACTCAGGTAATTATTATTCGGCAAGAATTTTAAACTTGGTTATATATCAATTTTGCTTCCACAAAAAGTTTTTTGTGCGGAAAAGTGAAAAAAAAAAATTTGTACTCAGTATCAACATTACAGAACCCGCGTTTTCCATTATAGACATCAAAGAGCAAATTTAGTCTGTAGTTAAGTCCACGTGATGGATATGTCACCTACTATCATTATTAAATTCTCATGAAATTTTTACTTTCACTTACTTATATCTGTAATATATAGTAGGGGAAATTTTTTTTACCAACTTATTCGACTTCCGCAATTGGCCTAGCAGTATTCGGGCTGTTCTAAACGATGGCTGTGATCATTTGGTTCTCTTATATAGATATCAGGTAGCACCTTGTTTATAATAACTGGATGTGTTTGCAAATCACTCTCTCTTCATCAGGATGGTATGGCAACCTTTTGCACACATCTCCATCCTATTATTGGTTTTTTTACAGGGTTAAGATTATTAGAGCCCTGTGTCCAACCTCCATTCTGGAGGACCAAGGAGCTATGTCATTAGACACAGAGAACGCTCACCTTTCTGTGAATCTCAGGGTGTGAACATTATCATCCCCATGTGGGAATGGTCGCACTTATTTATTATTAATTATTTATATTTTTATCTATTTTTTTATTAAATCACGCAAACGGGATTTAAAATTGTAACATACAATTTTTGTAGGTGCCTTAACTTGCTCGACCACCACGGACCTGGGGGAGGAGGGGAAAGCAATACTTAAAAGAAAGAGTCTTAAGGGTCTGAGTTTTCAAAAGAAATAGATGTTTTGAGATCCCCTGAGTCCAAATAACCAAGTCATAGATTGTGTGTGTATTTTGAATGAAAATAATTTTATTATTCTGGGACTAGTGTCCCTTCAGAACAAGTCACAAACACAGAATATATATTAATATTTTGGTGTGTCTATGAAATACAGTTTAATATTTACAGGTTGATTCGGAGTACAATAAAGTTATAAATGATAAAAAGATATAAATACGTGTAAATATAAAATATACAGAGAAAGTTAGTAAGTGAACGAAATATCGATGAATTACAAAATAATCAGAGTATCTGGGTGTACTTTGAGGTTTTTACAGCTTAGATTTTTAAGTGAATTTCGTGATCAATCGGATTGGGAATGGAGTAGGTGTTTGTGGAGGAGAGATTTGAAAGAGGATATCGATTTTGCATGTCGAATATCTGAAGGTATAAAGTTCCAGAGAGAGACAACTTGTATTAAAAAAGATTTATCAAATGCAGCAGTTCGGTGAGGAGGAGGATAGAGGTCGAACGCACGGGATCTGGTGGGACGGAATTGAAAGGAGCGTTTGAATTGTAGGATCTGTAGAATATAGGCAGGTCGCCGTGTTGTAATGGCTCAGTATAGGAAGGTAGCCAGAAAATACTGACGGCGGTAGGACGGATAAAGCCATTTCAACTTGGTGTAGAACTGGGTAACATGCGTATCCCTTGAGATCCCGAAGATAAAGCAGATTGAGCAATTTATTAAACGTTTATTTATGCGAACAGCCTAGCTCTAAAACGAAAAGTCGTACAAAACTGAAACTACATATTTAAGGTTCATATATACCTGGGATTTTACTGCAACATTTTCGTCAAAATTGGCTGAGGAGAAGTATCACTTTATGTTATCAATTTTACACATTTTTGTAATTTTCTCAAAAATAGCTCTAACAATTTTGATTAAATTCATAATATCAGTGTAAAATTAAACATTTTTTAATATAATGTAGGTAATATTCTCACTGATGCTCTCTAACAGGGCTCTTATTAAATTATTGCTCGTTCTGTTTCTCCTTTTAGATTTAATGTTTTTTTCTAATTTATTACTTATACCTTTGTCACTTTCATTTTTAATAAATTTGTCTGTGACAATGTTTTAATCAGGGATTGGAACTTTTTTAAACAATTCCATTTTAAAAGTTTCCGTGAAAGGTTTAAGGAAAAAATTTCCATTTTAACAATTTCCCTGAAACTTTCTTGGAAAAAAGTTCTGTTAAATGAAAAATAAACAGTAATCGGGATTAGATTTGAGTTATAATTTGTCTTAAATGAATTAGACATGATTCTAATGTGTCGTTTGTTCCAAACAAACTAAAAAATTGTCGACAATAAAAATTGCCGTGATACCAAAACTTTTTAAAAATAAAAGTTAAAGTTTCAAGCCCTGGTTTTCGCTGCATTTTGAAATATTTTATATAAAATCACAAGTAAAGGTTTTTTTTATGTTATAATTTCTTAAGAACTTGAATTTGATTGAACCATCAGATCTCTGATGTGTAACGCTTAGATAAAGTTGGCTTGAGTTGACTCATTGAAGTCTTATTGCATATGGATTAAAATATCTCAAAAACTGAAAATCGGACCTGCATATTGTTAGTGAGGGAACTGTTTATCATTTCATTCTCTTTTTAATGAGCTATTATTCGAAATTGTATCTTAACGTGAAGTCGTGTTAGGGAGACAAAAAAGAAAACATAGTGTCAAAATCCAAATGATAACGAGTTTTACTGAAGATATGGATTAAAATATCTCAGAAACTAAAAATCGGATAAATGTTCAGCATTTCATCCTCTTTTTAATGAGCTAATATTTATAATTTATATTTCATATTATTAATATTGCCTTGATGTTTCCACTTCTATCATGTGGTCTAAAGCACACTCCTTAGTTTTTTTGGAACTTAAAACAATCAATTACCATATGTTTTTCACAGCCATCTAATCTATTATACTTATGTTTTTTTTTTCCCCGCTAATCATTGTCTTTAACGATTGTATGCTTCAATTATTTATTTGATTATAATAAAGAACTAAGTTTCACGAAATATTTTCAGTCTGACAAGATTGTTAATGATAAAGAAAGCCACTTTATTTATTTATATTTCATTGCGGATATTTTTATTTGTTTAAGTACCAGTATATATAAAAATTTTAATTTTTATATTGCTGTAATCTATGCAAATAAATATTGAATAATATCAACGACAGCATTTATGAAAACGGCACATGCTTAAGTATTGAAGGCTGTTCTAGCTTTGGCTGCTTACTTGGGTTTCATCTGTTCTCTATTAATAACAAATAATAGTAGGTTATGTCTCTTTAATTATCAAATTCATGCATATTTAACTATTTTTTATATCAGGTTCCAATGTGAAATGATTAATTATTTCAAATAAAAAAAATGTTAACTGTACTTAAGAGAAGGAAATTTTGAAAAATTGGCATTTAAGCCCTGATGAAGAACATAAATGAGAATAAGACCTCCATTAAAAAAGTTTAATTTTACACTGATGTAATGAATTTAATCGTTATAGTTGTTTTTGAGAAAATTATAAAAATGTCTAAAATCGATAATATAAAGTGGCACTTCCAGTTAGCCAATTTTAATTAAATAGTTGCTGTAACATCCCAGCCATATAAAAATCCTAAACATGTATTTCCTTTAAAAAATCAGATTCTAAAATTTTCACGATCGCAGTACTATATATTACATATATAGGCGAGTGAAAGTAAAAAACTGTTAAAGGTTAAAAAGAACTGTTAATGAAACTGATTAAGTTAAATAACTGTTTCAGGTTTCCGACTTTTCAATTATATTATATTGATATTTATTATTTTAATTATAGGTATTGGTTTGGCATACCAGAACAGAAACACCGAAACTAAGCGAAGAGAACAAAATAAAATTACGCGGCCTTCGGTCAGATGCAGGTATGGAAGTGTGAAGTGGCATGTGATATTTTTAAATAAATTGCTTTTATTTATATTTAAATTATTAAAAACATAAAAAAGACACGAGTGTGTGCATAATATTTATTAATAATTATGTTTAAATTTATTGTAAATATGTAAATGTCTTATGTATATTTATGTACATGGAAACGTATAAGGTGTTGAAAGTGTTTGTCCGGTAATAATACTCGTTAAGTTATAAGGTATACACTATGTGATATGTAGTTCGCTGTCGAGGCAATGGAACAGATAATTTGTACTTATTTATAATTTAAATTGCACAGTTTTTTATTTTTATTTTTTAATAGTGTTAAATTTTTTTCACAGCTATTTTTTTTTTTTTTTTAATATTTTATATTCTGACTTATGTTCAAAAACAAAAATAAAGAGAAGGAATATTTCTTTTTTTTTTAGTGAAATAAAATAATACAAGTTATATAATAACAGTTTTTATAAAAATAAATTTATAATATTAGTAATTCTAAAATTATGTAAAATAGAAGTTCCCAGTCATATAGGTGTTGTAATTTTATCGGAGAAATAAATTACTAAAAAAAAGTTTAGTGAGTGAGTATACTACGTGTTAAATTATTTTGTTTTAATAAATAAAACTTTTTTTACATTTGTTTATTATTATTATTTTTCTGAGTTAATGAAGCAGGAAGAAATTTCTAAGAAAAAGGTGTAGAGATATAAAAAATTAATATTATATTAAAGTCTCGATGCCTATTATCGTTAAATACATAGCAAGTATGTTCTTGTAACATATTAGATGAACTATTTAATAAAAACATTTTAAAAATATAATAATATGACAATATGTTATATTGTTTAAATTATAATGCTTATATTATACAGCTACTAAATATAACCATGTCTTTTGAAAAAATATTAAAACATTATCTCTAAAAGTAATTATTGTTTGTGTAATTATATTTTTATCAGGACACCAAGAATCACTCAAATGTCATTTTACTAGGTAGTTAGTTCTTACACCGAATCAACCAGGAATGATGGTGTAAGACCTGAAATTTTTAATCTTAATGAAACTAAATCTGCCTCAAATTATTTTTTTTTAATAATCAAAGTTTCATTACTATTATTAAAGTTGCAATAATAAAAATAAGTTAATATCTATTAACAATTAGGATGAATGAGCTGGTAATTATGTTTCTATTTCTATCGCAATGAATATAATGATAAAATTAGGAAAATAAATGTAAATATTATGTTAGCGTTTGCATCATCTGTTCCATTGCTTAAAGAGCAGAGGTTCTCGAGACTCCTTCCTCTCGACTAAATGAAAGTTTCCTAAGTTTTTTTTTATGTTGCTTTATTATTTTATTTATTTTTTACTTCTTTTTTCTCCCTTACCTCAACTTTTCGGTTATAACAACCGGTTTTTCTCTGAGTAGAGTTAAAAGCCCCCAACACCAGGATTTGAACTCTTAATTTTCAGTTTATCAGGTTGTGGGGCGAAGTTAACGGAAGTAATGGTTGATCCATTTTTATTGAGAAATTATCCTCCCTGTTTAACCTGCTGTATTTAAATTGTTTTCAGAAAAAGTATTTCAAATACAAAATACACCGCATGAAGTAGTGCTTTATATCTAATTCTTTAAAAAAATATTTTTATTTTCGTGAGGAAAAGGAATAATGAGATTGCAAGTCATTCTATTAAGTAAAAGTAAAAAAAGTATACTTTTGAAAATAATTATTTGGGGGAAATCATTTTATTCAATTAATATTATTTTTGAACAGTTTATACAACAAAGTGACGTTTTGTTAAATTATTTCATTTTAAATATTCGCTAAGGCATAGATGGGGAATCTGCAGCCTAAAGGCCACTTGCCGCCTCCAAACGTTTTGGTACAATATTTATTAATCTATTGTTGCAGTTAATTAATTTCCTCGAAATTATAAATACCCTTGAAAATTTAGAAGATTGAAAAAAAAAATTAATGTTTAATTATTTAGGTTGAAAAATTTGAAAATTAATAGAATCAAGCTGAATATATCTATATGGTTGTGTTTATTTAGTGACAAATAAAAATAGTAACGGCAAAACATTAAATTTGTTGTAGCCTCGATTAGAACTTCCTGACCTAAATGTACCCTCTAATGATAAAGATTTTCCTCCATCTATGTTCCAAGGTATTACATAGATTGAATCCTACCTTTTTTTTTTTTTTTTTTTTCCTGAAAAGTACTTGATAATATATTTAAATTTAAAAAATGGCATGTTTTATCACGGCTGTTTTAAACAACTGTCATATGTCTAATTAAATTTGCCCTTCCTATGATTAGAAACCGGAGTTCTGCATAATTTTTTTAACGCTAAGCCAAACTATCGATTATAAATTTAACACAATACTCTAAAAAAATTTCTAACCACAATTTTCACGAGTGAAAAGGAGCGGAGTTCTCATGCAAACAATCAGTATTACAAAAATATTTAAAGGAACCTCAATCAATTCAGTAAACTATTTTATGTATTTAAAACAGTCACAAGCGAGGTATTTTATATTTTGCTACTTAAAATATGTATATAAATTATCCTCTATGTTGTATCATACCTAGAAACATATTTAATTCTTTTCTTTATTTCTCAATTATTGGATAAAAAGTTTGTTTTTAAGTTTTGCTTATACATATTATTTTTAATAAATGATTAGACAATTCACTTTGTGCCCATTAAACTTTGAGATCCTCTGACTTAAAGTGAAAACTATTATGAATGATAATGATAAAGGTGCTAGATTGGTTTTAACGAGATTATATTGTTTGTGTACAATACACAAATCCTTAAGATGTTTTATTTATCGATAATAATTCTTTCATATCTGTAAAAAAATTATCGACATTTAGATAAATTAATTGTACTCTAGATTTAGAGGAAGGAGAATATATAAGAAAAAAAAATATTAAATTGAATTTTAAGTTTGTATTAGTCAATGTGCCATCGCTAGTGAATCTCTGCTATAGTTTCGCATCCCTCCTTATTGGTTTAGTAATTTTTTTTTTTTTTTTTTTAATTTTTCTATTTATGTATATAAACAATGTCACTAAGAAAATAAGCAGTACATTTATAACGTTAGTATAATTTTATCTGTCTGTAATATTTTTAAAAATGTTTAAAATGAACATATCATATTTTATTGTCACACATATCTCATTTTAATTTTTTTTTATATTGAGTTATGTTTTGGCCTCGTAATGTACATTATCTATTTGTACTTAGCCACCTTTAATGGATAATTTATTTTTGTATTGATTTTTAATATTTTATGTATTTTTTATTTTATTTTATTTTTTAATAAAGAAATAATTTGACTGGAAATGATAATATTAAGTCATTAATGGGAGATAAATAAAATTGATATGCTGAGGTGTTGTGTTATTGTGAATTTTTTATAATAAGATTAACTATTATAATCTTATTCTATAACAAGATTAAAGTTGTTAATAAATTATTGTTTAAATGCAATAAAATGTAATTATATAAATTTTAGGTTGAAAAAGTGAGTAATGTCAAATTTTAAAACTTTTGAATATTAATAATTAGTATAAGTTTCGTATTTGAAAATGGCCTGTATATGATTGAGACAACTCTAAAAAAAAAAAAAGAAAAATTAAGCAATATGTATTTGGAATTAGCTGATTAGATGAATTAAAATAATTGTATTAAGGAAAAAAATCCCAATTAGTTGGGAAAAATTCTTTCTATTTTAAGATTTACTTTTCCCTTTACTCACTATACACACTATTCTGACCTTCAGCTATCAATAATGCTTTCGTGCCGACTTCAAAATCATATTGAGCACGCTGTATATGGAATCCCAAAACTATCCAAGAGTATACAAATATGACATTTACCCACACTTTGTTGTCAGCAAATTACCTATTTTAGGAGAAGAGATAGTTTAGGTCAGATCCAGTCTTCGCCAATATCAGTTCCTATTATATATATAAATGTGAACTGACTTATCAAAATGTTTGTCGAAATTTGGAAATAAATATTGAAAAAAAAATCGTTTTCTTGTTTCTGAACTTCGATAATCATGATCCTCTATACTCCTTCGTATTATTCAGCTCAATAACTATGAATAACAATAATTATAATTCTATAAATCAAATTAAAATAATGATTAAATTAAAGCAATTCTGCAATAAAAATTAAAAATACAGTTAAGTAGATCAGAATATTTGTATACCAATGACATTCTCTATTTTTATTTGAAAATTAACTTTATTTCTAGAGAAGCTTTCATCGACCTGTGCCATATTCATCTCTTATTTAACTATTTAAAACCATTGTAGATTGGAACAGAGATTGTTCTTTGTCGAATTATTTAATTATTAGAGAAGAGGGCTCCTCACTATCTGACACCATTTCACTGAATGCTCTATTTAATTAATTAAGTTTATATTTTAAATGTATTTATCCATATTCTACATAGTATAATTAATACAATGCAGGGCTTGAAATGGAAAAAAAAAAAATTTATTTTTAAAACTTTTTTATATGAACAGAATTGTTATTGTCGATAGTTTTTCAGTTCTTTTGGATCTGGAACTTTTTCTTTTTCAAATAAAGTTTTTACAGAACTTTTATTTAAAGGTTCTATCGATTTCACTAAAAAGTCGATCTAAAAAATTACTTTTATTCATAGTTACTCAAACTAAAGACACATTAGAATCATGTGCGTAATTCATTTAACACAAATTATAATACTAAGTTCAATTACTGTTTATTTTTCATTTAACAAAACTTGAATAAGTAAAAGGTTAACTTTTACTATAAATCTGAAATTTTATTACTTTTTTTTTTTAATTATGCCTCTCTTTATCGGCTTCCGCCATCAGAGATCTTGCAGCCCAGTACCATTCCGATTTGTACAACGTAGTATCTCTTATGTTCAAAAAGTGCAAGCATACACCTAAATGCGCTGCATCCATATGTGCTCCCGAATTACATAGGTGTAATGTGGAGAGTCTGCCACTCCTATTCTATGCAGGTGCTTCCTAAGGTAGTCGTGTTCTGTTATCATCTAAAACTCTGCCACGGCTTCCTTTTTCAGCAGGTTCATGTAAACTTGATCCGCTTAATTAAACAATTTTCTCCATAGCTTATCCACAATGCAGCTCTTTACAGAATCCAGTAGTAGAGCCTCACTTGCCTTATTTCTTTCTTTTTTGACTCCATGATATGATAATCCATTTTCTGGCCGATTCAGCCCTCCTTGACGAGTTTATCAGCCATTTCATTTCCGTG